GTGTCCGCGTCTGTATTCTTCAATCCTGGCCGGTACTGAACATCAAAGTCATATGCTGCAAGGGCTGCCAACCACCTGTGACCTGTGGCATCCAACTTTGCACTGGTGAGCACGTATGTCAAGGGGTTGTTGTCTGTTAGAACTGTAAACTTTGCTCCATACAGGTAGTCATGGAATTTCTCACAAACCGCCCACTTGAGTGCAAGGAATTCCAAACGATGAGCTGAATAGTTTGCTTCTGACTTGGTGAGTGCTCTACTGGCATAGCTGATGACTCTCTTCACACCATCCTGTTCCTGATATAATACTGCACCAAGTCCTTGACCGCTGGCATCGGTGTGGAGCTCAAATGGTGTTCCATAGTTTGGATATCCAAGGATGGGTGGTGAAGCTAGCAGTGTCTTCAGTTTCTCAAAGGCGTGTTCTTGTTCAGCTCCCCAAGTCCAAGGCTGTTCCATTACCTTCTTCTTGGACTTTCCAGATTTACCATGGGGCATCAGTGATGACAGAGGCTTAGCAATCTTGGCAAAGTCCTTAACAAACTTGCGGTAATATCCGGCGAAACCGAGGAACTTTCTGACATCACTTGGGTTGGTTGGTTGAGGCCAGTTCAATATCTTGTCCACTTTATCAGGATCAGTTGTAATTCCTTCTTCAGTCACCACATGGCCAAGGAACTTGATTTTCTTCTTGAAGAAGGAACACTTCTCTGGAGATAATTTAAGACCTGTATCTCTGATCCTCTGGAATACTTGACTGAGCCTGATGAGATGTTCGCTGACTGACTGGGAGTAGACGATGATGTCATCCAAGTAGATGAGACATATCTTCAAGTGAAGACCTTCAAAACATTCATTCATAAGCCGTTGGTATGTCGCTGGGCTGTTACATAATCCGAAGGGCATACGGTTGTATTCGTAAAATCCCAAGGGTCCAACGGTGAAGGCTGTTCTTTCCTTGTGTGTTTCCTCTATCTCTACTTGGTGATAACCACTCTTCATGTCCAAGGTACTGTAAAGTCTTGTTCCTGAGAGGGCTTCGAACATCTCTTCTATCCTCGGAATTGCGTAGTTGTCTCGGATCGTCTTCTGGTTCAGTTGTCGAAAATCTACACATAGCCTTAATTTTCCTGACTTCTTGCGCACAAGCACAACATTGGATGACCATGGAGAGTGAGAACGTCTTATGACACCAGCAAGGAGTAGATGATGCAAGTGATCCTTAACTTCCTGATACATGGCTGGTGGGACTCGACGATGTCGCTGTTTAAATGGCGTGTCATCTACTAAGTCGATCCTATGTTGCACTGAAGAAGTGTGACCAACATCTGTGTCTCCTGTTGAAAAGATGTCGATGTAGTCGGAAATAACTTGTTTCCCTTGTTGAAGTTCCTTGTCTGTTACACTGGCTTCCTTAAAGTCCATAAGATTCATAATATCTGTTTCCTTACTTGGAGTAAAAGGATGAATCTCGGGTACATCTTCTGTGCTAACAACTTGTAGTTCGCATAAGAGAGCACGACTTGGAATGGAAACAGAACGAGTTGTGAGGTTTGATACATGTATGTCCACAAACATCTTCTGTCCTCTTCCATCATATGAAACTAAAGTTGGTTCAATGTCAAGGTCGTCTGGGATGACTGATCCTCTTGTAGGCTGAATAATGGCGCAAGTGGATCTGTAAGGTAGGGGCTGTATCACATGTCCACGAATAACAATTTCAGAATTAGCTGGAATTATCTTGCGACCTGGCTCTGAACTTCTAATTCGTCCTATGGAGTAATTGTTCTTGACAAGTTCTCTCTCCTGAAGGGACATGGAACGAAGAGCCAAATACCAAGGAGTATGGAGGTCTGCTTTCTGAAGGAATCTTTCCCCGAACTCCTCCTTGCACTGGAGCATGTAGACAGAGAGAACGTTGGTACCTAGAGTAATTGGAACTGTCTGGTTGTAACAACTGTCAGGAACTACAAGAAGTAAACATCGGACTTTGGATAGAGCACTTCCTGTTCCCTGAATGTCCACAACAATGTATCCACTATACTGTAAAAACTCTCCATCTGCACACTCGATGTTAAGGATGTGTTTAAGTGGCTCAATAGGAATCTCACTGAAATTCTGTTCGTAGTAAGACTCGGAAATAGAAGAAATGGTCGCTCCTGTGTCAAGTAAAGCCCTGGAACTAACACCATTGACCATGATATTAGTCTCAGTAGGCTTACCAACTAACTCTGCAACCAACTGCTGTTGAGTGCTGACATGCTGTGTGTCTAGGCCCATGGTCCGCCTCTCCCCATAGGCCGATTGAAGTTTAAAGGACCATTGTCTATCCTGGCTCTACATCCTCTCCTAATGTGTCCAGGTTGTCCGCATCGGTAACAAACCGGAATATCAGAAAAGGTCTGTGGTCCTTGGAATCTATGTTGGCCACCACGTCCAAACTGCGGATTTTCTCTAGGCTGTTGTTGACATATCCACTGTCTAGGTGGTATCTGCCATGATTGACCTTGACCTTGGTTATACCTTGCTGCTCCTGTGTTTGCCTGTGAAGAGTCTGATTCCTTGGCGTCCTTATTCTGTTTCTTGAGAGCAGCAATCTCTGTTGACATGGACTTCAGGATTCCCCGGATTTCTTTAAGCTCTGAATCCTGAGTGAATGTGGCCTTACTGGTGGCATCAGGCCTCTTCTTAGACACTGGGTTCCTCTCCTTTAAGTCGGCTTCCACCTGCCTGAGGTAACGAAGAAAGTCTTCAAATGATCCACCTTGATCAAACTTGTGACTTGTGAGGTCCCTCAGTTGTGATCTAAGTCCAGTCCACAAGGTAGTCCTTAGTAAATCTTCTGTTTGTCCAGGCTGTACTTTTCCAAATGTGACTCCTTGGCTCAAAATATCCTCTAGTCGGCATGACCACTCTGCTACACTTTCTTCATCCCCTTGCTTGGCTGTGTAGAACTGTGACATAATGTTGTGTTCCGTGTGAACATCACCAAACACGCTAGCAAGCTTGGAGATGATTGTCTTCAATGGGGCATCCTTGTCTACATGCATAGCCACTCTAGCAGCTCTACCACGTAACGAGCGCCGAACAGCTTCAGCAACGATCTTTGAAGAGTAACGAGTAGACATACAAGTATACTCGTGTCTCCATTGATCGAAATCGGCATCCCCCTTCCTGTCACCAGAAAAGTATGGAAGCTGTGGAGTGTGGGCCAGGGTGACAGTAGTAGGCACGAAAGAACCTTCTGAACCTGCTTGTGCTTGACCATGTTGACCATGTTCCTGCTTTACCTGACCGACTTCGGATATCCACTTCAACAAGTCTTCTGGTGTGTCAGCTTTAGGGTGAAGTTTTAGTTTTTGAAAAGAAGAAATTAATTTCTGCACCTCTTCCTCAGAAAGTCCTCCTTCTGCCATTGTGACGTGTAGGCGAAATGCAAAGTGAAAAACAAAACAAAAAAACAAAAGGCTGAAAGAGACTTAAATAAACTAACCAAAATAAAATTGGGATGTGTGATCTTGGAGTGCAATGTAATCACACAGGAGAGAAACTACACAGTTAGCTAAATGAATGTGCTTAACTGCACACACGTAAAATCAAAGTACAATGATGTCACGCAGTGTAGGAATTCTACGATAATATACCCATTACATGTGTATTATAAGAAATAATTGGCAAGGTCAATGGAATTGCTATGTAATCTAAGTATGTTGATAAGTAGTGCACAGGTACCCCACAAGCTACTTACTAAAGCTTGTCTTCAGTACATGCTTATGATGACTTACCACATCACGTAATACTATCTAAGTATTAGAATGCAATGTGCATCAGTGCAGAGTGTACTATTGCGCGCGCAGATATTGGGTCAAGTATAAACAACTGATTCTACATGATTAAGCAAAGACAATGACCCTTAGTTGCACGATGTAGAACACTGAATGTAACCGAGTACAAAACTAAGTGAACACCAAGTGCAAACCAACACCAAAGACAACACTAGAAAAGCAAGCAACAATTCCCTGAATGTAGCAAACTAGCAAGACAACAACTGCTAATGAACTACATGTAGTGAGCTAACCTCAAAATGAACCTATCACTCTATTTAGGAATTAAAGTAATAGCTATATGATTTATGTTAGTTAAGTAGTTGATTTTACTAACTACCTAGCCACAAACACACACAGACCAATCATACAGTGCTTAGATACCAAACAAAAATACATGAAGCATAAGACTGGCATGAATAATAGGTATGGTCGGAGCGCTCCTAAGAATGGCCATAGTATAATACATGTATATTGCAAACAACATATGCATAAACACACAGATTATAGGACAGATTTTAATCATACACATCCAACACAAATATAGCATGAATCATACATATAATTCATTGCATGGCAAAACATGTAAGTGAGAAGTCATTCCGGAAGACAACATGTCAAATATGTCACATGACAAGTACAGCATAGCATTGCCATCACTATGGTATACAAAAGAACACAGAAATACGACATGGTATTCACAAGAGATAAGTGAAGCAATATCCAGAAGTTTCACACACTCGCAGTTGTCAGTTCAACTCGGCTGTGTGTAAAAAGTTTATGATGATAAATTGTCAATTACTTTCACTGCTGGATCCAGGTTAATATACACACAAAGTGTCACAATTATCACAAGCGTAGAGTGTCATGATCATGATCAATTCAGAAATGCTCAACGTTGAGTAAGAGTATATATGATTACAACAGTAATAATGTTCAATGTCTCATCAATACTCAAGTCAAATGTAATCACATATCTACCGGTCTTGTGTCAACACGCAACGCAGATCACATGATGTCATAATGGCGGAACGATCCTCAAGTGTGACGTCACATAACGCCGTGGTTGGTCTCATGTGTACATCAGTTTCCTCATGGTCCCATCAAATCCTCACTGGGGGCTCCAATGTAGTAGCGGTAGTTGTCGGGGTGGTAAACACAACAAACGGCTACAGGGTGTGAGCTGATGGCTGTTTATTCTCTTAGAAGAGAATGGTGAATAAATACGGCCTGCAACAATGTATAAATAATAATACATACTGCATACAAGACATAGAACATTGACATTGATATAATATACATAATGGCCTTACATCTAAGGGACATTCAAATAGCAAGAAACCAATGTTACTCATGTAGGAAGTAACCTGTACAATGATATATATATTATATCTGCTTATGACTCTAAAATCAGTTTAAACTAAACATAAACCCTGTCTACTGTCATAACACTAGACAAGTACAATACTACATGATAATTACAAAGATATACGTCAGCATATATATAGATACATACATTTATACATTCATGAGTAACACATAAACAATACATACCAGACTGGTGAAACCTGTGCCGTGTCACCAAAGCTTCTAAGATAGTGCCAGTTACATCTGCATTGACAAGGTATAAACTAATGCAGATACTATTTACACTTTAATTATACACAACACGTAAGTAAAATAGGTATTTAAAATAAGGATTGATCAAATTACTTAAATAATGCACTTTCACACATACGCATACATTCTTATACACAATTAACACAATTACCTTAATGTGATATGAGGTATAGAATTACTACAGTTTATTTAGGGTTTAGTTTTATTTAGTTAATGTTCAAGTTAAAATGATAATAGCCTAGGATATATTAGCTATTTATCAATTAAAGAAACTGCTTTATAATACTTTATCATATAAAATAATCATGATCAGAATACACTAACTGTGGATTCAATACACAACCTGATTAGCAATGAACCAAGCACAACTTATTTCTAACTTTAAGAATTAGAAATACACAAATACATATAAAGTATCATACAAGAAATATACTATGACTAACCTTCAAATCCATGAAATAATCACATCTATTCGATCCATGAATACAAGATCCATTCAAAATATATACAAAATGACTATGGAGTACATATGTCAAGTGTAATCTGGCAACTGCCTCAGATCACAAGCAAACAAAGGTATACCTGTGGTCAGCTGTGAGTGACCACAGAGAACAATAGAGTACTCTATGCGCGGGACGGGATACTAAGTGCTGTGGGTGAAAAGCATGCAGTGGTATGGTTAGTCAAGGCTGGATAAATAATAGACTGAATGAAACAGATAAGCTGTGGTATTAATGTTTAAACTGAAATACAATTATATGGCAAAAGTAAGACAGGTAAATAAACTCTGTACTACTTAATTCAAATATGAAATAGAATGTGTATAAAACTATAGCTAAAATAGAATTAAAACCTAACTTGTATGTACAAAATATTACTCTGCCACACGTCCAAGATTATTGCACTTATATAGCCATGTGCATGTGTAAGAGTGAATATTACCCTACCCTATTTTTTATCCCGGGGATGAAATTTTCAGGTATCGGGATGATACTCCCTAGTGAATTTGACCCACGCCCCAACCAAACATGATGAAAAGGCAAGTATGAACATAAATAACACTAGAATAATTTAACTTATTGCTAGTTTTATTTATCCTTGGATAGGATACACAAGTGAATTTTTATATTTGAACAATATATTCAAAGAAACACAACATTTTATTCAATAATATTCATAAATGGAGGAATGTCTGTTATTCTTTCTCTTAACATTCTTAATACAAACACACACACGTGCATGTACGTCGCTTTAGAAGTGCAATAATCTTGGACGGGACGTTAAACCCCATTTCACCTCATCTCACCTCTAAGTGTTTCATGTTTAGAGCGGCTTTCATATGAGATATAACGACAGAGGTGGTTGAGGATTGTGTGGGACGGTGGTGCATAGGTAGGTGTGGTATGGGTGGGTGGTGTGGGTGGGTGGGTGGTGTGGATTGACCGATATATCTCCAGTGGTGGTCGGTGGGGCACTCTAGTAGATGGGTGTGGTTAAATCTATCAATATTTATTTATTATTGTGTACAGAATGTGTTACGCCAGTCAAAAGAATCGCTCGTAAAATATATCTGGCTATACGATAAACATGGAACTTTGGTTTTTACCCACCTTTTCAACCAGTTCTGTGGTCTAATGGTTATACGACCCGTGAAGATTCCGGGGTAGAACAGGTCTTCAGCAACCCATGCTTGCCGTAAGAGGCGACTATGCTTGTCGTAAAAGGAGACTAACGGGATCGGGTGGTCAGGCTCGCTGACTTGGTTGATACATGTCATCTATCCCAATTGCGTGAATCGATGCTCATGATGTCTGTCACTAGATTGTCTGGTCCAGACTCGATTATTTTACAGACCCCCGTCATATAGCTGGAATATTGCTGAGTGCGGCGTTAAACAACAAACAATCCAATCTAATGGTTATACAGCCTGATTTGACACCTAATCGGGAGGTTGTGGGTTCGATTCCCGCAATCCCAAATAAAAAAAACAACTGTTTTTGAGACACTAAGTCCATAATTCCTCTTTCTGGGTAAACATCATGCTGGGATGAGGTCTAAATGCCTACAGAAGAAGACATTGGTTCAATCACAAGTCCCAGCATAGAGGTTTAATCTCATATAAATCCAACATGCAGGCATAAGAAGGGTGCTAGAGTGAGTGAGTGAGTGAGTTTGGCTTTGCGCCGCTTTAAGCAATATTCCAGCAATATCACGGCGGGGGACACCACAAATGGGCTTCCCACATTATACCCATGTCGGGAATCGAACCAGGGTCTTCAGCGTGACGAGCGAACGCTTTAACCACTAGGCTACCCGACCGCCCGAAGGGTGCTAGAATTTCAGCAGGGTGAAGGTTAACGCTTTGCGGGAATTTGGGGACATATGTACACATTCTAAGACAGCAGTCTCAAAAGGGTGACATATTATCTATATCCACACATTATTATTTCGTTTTCAAGTGTCGTGGAGTGAAAAGTACCCTGCTAGCTGACACTTATACACAGCATTGGCTCCCGTAGCGACCACTGCTACTTGTTTTGTTTGTTTGTTGTTTAACGCCGCACTCAGCAATATACCAGCTACATGACGGCCGGCTGTAAAGAACAGAATCTGGACCAGACAACCCTGTGATTGATATCATGAGCGTCGATCCACGCGATTGGGATACAATGACCAAGTCAGCGCGCATGACCACCCGATCACATAAGTCGCCTCTTACTACAAGCATAGTCGCCTATTACAGCAAGCATGGGTTGCTGAAGACCCATTCTACCCCGGATCTTCACGGGGATGCTGCTTGTCAAATCCACGAAGAAGCACCGTAAATCACCGTCGTAACGAAGAGAGAAGTATCGGGGAGAGACATTTGAACACCATTAGAAAAATACATGACGTAAGACAACGTGGGGTATTCGAGGTGAAACCAGTGTGCTTCCTTCAAAATGCAACCAAAATAGAACAGTGAGTGAGTGAGTTGGATTTAACGCCGCTTTTAACAGTATTCCAGTCATATCGCGGCGTGTCAGCTTAATGTGGGAGGAAAGCCCGAAGTGATGCAGGTCTCAGACGTTTACCACTTCGGTGAAACCCACGAGCACGGGTATGGTGCTGACAAACCTAGAAACATAATCAGGGCGAACCAGGATTCGAACCCACAATCAAGGGACGCAACTCTACACAGCGAATCGCGACGCCTTAGACTTATTGCGTTTTTGTGTATGTTTGTGTATGTATGTGTTTATACGTGTATGTCAATATGTATGTGATGTTGAAGTATGTGTGCGTTTCTGTGCATGTGTATAGATACATGCATGTGTAGATATCTGTATATGTCTGTGTCTCTATGTGCATGTGTATGTGTCTGTGTCTGTGCATCTATATGTGTAGATATCTGTATATGTCTGTGTCTTTATGTACATGTGTCTGTGCATCTATATGTGTAGATATGTATATGTCTGTTTATGTGTCTTATCTGAATATGTATGTGTGTATGAGACTCTGTGTGTATGTGTATTTGCATGTGTCTGTGTCTATGTCTATGTATGTATATCTATCCCTGTATGTGTCTGTGTATGTGTCTTTGTATGTTTCAGTGTCTGTGTACGTGTCTGTGTCCGTGTGTGTCTTTGTGTATGTGTATGTGTCTGTGTATGTGTGTGTGTCTGTGTTTGTCCGTGTATGAATCTATGTATGTGTCTGTGTATGTGTCTTTGTATGTTTCAGTGTCTGTGTATGTGTGTATGTGTCTGTGTCCGTGTATGTCTTTGTGTATGTGTATGTGTGTGTGTCTGTGTCCGTGTGTGTCTTTGTGTATGTGTATGTGTCTGTGTATGTGTGTGTGTCTGTGTCTGTCCGTGTGTGAATCTATGTATGTGTCTGTGTATGTTTCAGTGTCTGTCTATGTGCTTGTGTTTGTATTTGTGTATGTGTATGTTTCAGTGTCTTTGTATGTGTATGTGTATGTGTGTGTGTTTGTGTATGTGTATGTGTATGTGTATGTGTATGTGTCTGTGTTTGTCCGTGTATGAATCTATGTATGTGTCTGTGCATTGGTCTCTGTATGTTTCTGTGTATGTATTTGTGTATGTCTCTATATATGCTTCCGTGTATGTGTATGTTTCTGTGTATGTGTATATGCATATATATCTGTCTGTCTGGATATGTCTGTGTCTGTGTATGTTTGTGTATGTATATGTGTCAGTATCTGTTTGTGTGTGTCTGTATATGTGTCAGTATCTGTTTGTGTGTGTCTGTGTATGTGTGTGTGTCTGTGTATGTATATGTGTCAGTATTTGTTTGTGTATGTTTGTGTGTGTCTGTGTATGTGTCTGTGTTTGTATGTCTGTGTATGTGTCCTTGTATGTATCGGTGTATGTCTCTGTCTGTGTCTGTCTGTGTATGTGTCCGTATATGGCTTCGTGTATGTGTATGTGCCCATGTATGTGTCAATATTTGTGTATATGTCTGTGTCTGTGTATGTGTCTGTGTCTGTATGTCTGTGTATGTGTCCTTGTATGTATCGGTCTATGTGTCTGTCTGTGTTTGTGTGTGTGTGTATGTGTATGTGTCTATGTATTTGTGTGTGTGTATGTGTCTATGTCTGTGTTTGTGTATATATGTGCGTATTATATGTGTCTGTCTCTGTCTGTGTCTGTCTGTGTATGTGTCTTTGTATGTGTCCGTATATGGCTTCGTGTATGTGTATGTGCCCATGTATGTGTCAATATTTGTGTATATGTCTGTGTCTGTGTATGTGTCTGCGTAAGTGTCTGTATGTATCTATCTATGTGTCTGTGAATGTTGCTGTGTATGAATATGAGCATGTAACTGTGTCTGTGTATGTGTCCGTGTATCTGTGTGTGTATGTGTCTGTGTAAGTATCTGCTTCTGTGTCTGTGACTGTCAACCACAGTTTGAATGAAATTGTGCGATCACAGGTAATGTAAGCTCAAGACAAACAATGGTGGGGTAAGAAATTTCATTTTCAAAAGTTGTCTGAAATGTCACCAAAAAATGCATGCTGTGATACGCCGCGTCATCGATGACGTCAGTCTTCTGATGACGTGGACTGGAATCCGTTGCCACTCGTCTCTCAGGGCCTCCTGCAATTCTTGCCTGTTGACGGGAGGCTCTAATCTGTCTGTCAAGATGGTCCCACAGATGATCAATAGGATTCATATCGGGTGAGTGGGCAGACCAGGGCAAAACCTGCCTCGCCATCGCAGTCTCAGGCGTCGATGTTGAGCAGTCAGTACCATTCCTCGGAAAGGACGATACGCCCAGATTCCAGAGGCACGAAGTCGTCGTAGTACTGTACGTTGGCTAATGGGATGTCCCAACGCTGTTGCTGCCTTCGCCGTCGCCGTTACGAATCTTTTTCGCAGGTGAATGAGCCGTATCTGATCGTCTTCCAGTGGTGATGCCACTCGGGGTCGTCCGGTTCTAGGCCTGTCCTGTGTCCTCCCTGTCTGCCTGTACCGTTGAATCAGCCTGGCTATTGCCAATGGTGTAGAACCAAATCTTCAGGCAATTTGGACCTGTGTTGTCCCCATTTCGGCCATACCGATGGCTCTCTCTCTCTCTGCTCCTGTGACAGTCGTGCCATTTCTTTTGTGTGCTTTCATCACGTGTGGTACCCTGAAGACGAACGCATTTATACCTGGAAACCTGTTTCGCCATTTTTTGTCACCGCACGAGCGCCGTCAAAGGTGGCGCGTTCGGGTGAGGTGTTTTTTGTACGTGTTCCCGGGAGTCATATTCCCAATACCCACTTTCCACTAGTTATCGCTGTTTTTAGGAAAATTACAAATTGCCAACCTATATTTTCTTTTCCCGCTTATTCTAAATGCGTATGTATCTGTGTCTGTGCCTGTGTATGTC